ATAATACCACAAAAAATTTTGCACGGAAAGCAGTGCAGTTTTGTGAACATCTGACTTACTCTCATGGCCATGAAACACTCTAGAGGCACAAGACCAATCATTAAGAGGACTTTTCCTCAAGTGTGTTATTTTGGATCCATTTTACCAATGCTCCTACCAAAAAGTACACAAGGAAGACAAAAGGCACCATCTAACTTCTTAGAATAAACTAACCATGGAAACTTAGACAACCAGTTGGTGCCAAAAGAAGAGCGACAAGGATACTCAAATTTCTATTCAGGCATCCTTCACTGGATGATAACGTTTGGAATCTGACAATTGGTCCACTTTAAAGTAAAAGCTTCCTACATCAAAATAAAAAAACCTGTAGTGGAATCTACTGCAAAATTATTATTTTCCATTTAGGAATTCATGAAAGTGCTCAAATTGTGGTTTGCCAATTCATCCAAATTACTCTTCCTATTAAAATTCAAGCCTTTCTTTGGCCTTGCACTTTGGAAACAAATTTTATTTTTTTAGATTTAAGAGGCACCTTGAATTCCTCAGAAGCACCATTTACGACCAAAACCGGATCAATATGTTTTGGCTTAATTGATCTCCTACCTCCAGAAGGAATGCAGCTAACTGACCCAAGTTAATATATTGGAAAATTTCTAGGCATTTGATCTCTTGGAAGGAGTTGTGCATTACTTAAGATAACAGCAGATTTATCTTCTGTGTTGGGATAGAAAGACATAAGTGGTACCTGTATTTTACTTGATAATGCCATAAGACATATGAAAGGACATCATCTTCCATTTTCACAATTTCACAGCTTCTCTTTTAATGCACTATTCATAATTATCAAGATGGTAATCAAAATGATCACTTGCATCAAAGGGCAGAGATTTTAAAAAAGAAGTTGGCAGAATTCTTTTCATTTGACAAGTTTTCAAAATGACGATGTAAGGCATATAAATCTGGCTGAAGGTATATCTTGACTGAGCCGAAAGCTCTTAAAACTTGACTCAAAACTCTATTACCAATAGCTGCATATGAGCATCCATGATAAAGGCAGTTTCCATCTGCTTTTACCCTGTGCAAAATAAAAAAACAACTGTATACTTACTTTACCCAAGGATTTGTTCAAACCCTAGCCCCTTCTACTATTTTACTGGCTTTATGTATTGTGTTGTTGCATTTTTTTAATTGAGAAAATACATTGAAAAACTTATATTTGCATTTGATATCACCAGACAAAGGCCTAAGGCTGCGGTCACACTGTAATTTTCTGCGCATCCTTTTTGCTAATCCGTATTTGTTCTTTCATCATGCCACCATCTTACATCAGGTCACACATGATTTTTTATAAGGATGCTTTAGTACCCTCAAGGAATTAATAGCTCAAGAAAATAACATGCACATTTATAACACACAGAGTATATTTCCCGCCAAAATATTACTATTTATGCTTCTTGGTTCGTGCCAATTTAAAATTTCTTTATTCGTTATCATGATGCAGCTACAATTGTCTATCTTGTTTCTTGTCATAGTTTATCGATTTATTGCAAATTCAAGAGCATCAGCTCTTAGCAAGAAACGGATGATGGCAAAGAGAGCTTTTCTTTTGGCCAGAGCATGAAGAAACTTTTTTGTCTCATCAATGAATAACTGCCACGTATTTTGGATGTTAAAATAAGCAAATTTACTTTGAGGAGCAAAGCGTTTTTGGGCTATTGAAAGGTCTCAGCCTTGGTTTTGATAGACTATGGGCTAATGTAGAGTTTGATACCCTCGATGAATATTGGAAACAGGAGCTTCGATTCTCTAAACAATCATTCAATGATATCGTAAATATTGTTGCTGGCGATATGGAAAAAAGGCACACCACATTTAGAAAGGCTTTTCTGATCCAGAAACGTGTAGCCATTGCTCTTTGGAGACTTTCAACCAGAAATAGTTTTAGATCAACTGCTGCTGTTTTTGGTGTTGGGAAATCTAGCGCAGTCAATTTTATAAAATTTTCCAAAAATGAAAGGGAAACAACTATAGCTTTGGAAAGATTTCAGAGATATGTAAAATCCCTCAAGTTATAGGAGCAATTGACGCCACACATAGAGATTGTTGCACCTGAAAATGCGCCCATTGACTACTTTTGCAGGAAACAAAAATTCACGATAAATACGCAAGCTGTCGTCGATGGAAATTTGAAATTGATGGATGTATCATCCGGTTTTCCAAGCATCATTCACGATGCAAGGGTTTTACGTGCGTTTAATTTATGCGGAAATGGGCGATATTCTGAATAGGCCACTCGCAAATATAGAGAACAAGCTCATGAAACCTTTCATTATGGGCGATGGGGCATATCTAATGAGCAGTTGGCTTTTAAAGCCAAACCCTGACAATGGAGCATTGACAAAATCACAGACGAAATTGGAGCATTGACAAGATCACAAACAAAATATAACAAAACTCTTTCTTCTGCCAGATCTGTTGTGGAGAGGGCGTTTGGAATTTTAAAAGCCTGTTGTAGATGCCTATTAAAAAGACTTGATACATAAACAAGTAATGTTGTTGAGGTCATTATAACTGCTGTGTTCTTCATAATATATGTGAAGAAAATGGAGATGAAATGGAGGACGAAGAATTCACAGCGCGTGTTATTGAACGCGAACAACAAGGCAACACAATAATAAACGAAGATTATAAGCAAATAATTTGAACTAATAAAAATTGACATTGTAATTTGAACATTACTTTTTGCCCAAAAGAGTTGCCAACTGGATAAAAAATTATCTGTCTCGTTGTTTTTCCTCGGCCACTGCTTTTCCCTGCTGCTCTTCCAGCTCCACCAAAAACTCTCTGTTCCTCCGGTCAGATTCCGCAAATGCATCCATCTGCCTCTCTTGCATATCCAAAAATCTGTCTTTGAAATTTTCTTTCACTTTTTTCCATCATTATCCATACAGTTATGCTATTTTTCTTTTTTTTTGCTATTTTCTTGCCATTATCAACAACATCATCATCTTAATTTCTCTCTTCTTCAGCCTCTAATCCCTTCTTCAACCACATTCCTACTTTCGTCGTTATTTTCCTCCTCGACAGCTACCCCAACTTCTCTTACCAAGTCCAGTTCGACTTTAGGCCTACATGATAATATTTCATCAAAATCGTTGTAGAATCGGGGAGAGTCTGGAACTGCGCCACTCTTTTTATTGTTATCCTTTGCTTTCTTGTAGGTGTCTTTTAAAATCGAAAGTTTTTTCTTGGCCTGGTTGACAGTTTTTTTAGGTCCATTTTTGTTAACATTATTTATAATTTTTGTCCATGCCTGCCGATTGCGACTGCTTTCCATCTAAGTGACATTTTCTTTCCACTCTCTAATCAGGCTTCTTGCTTGAATCTAGGACCAGTGACAATTTTTTTCCTCTATTTTCTTTTCATCTCCTTTGCAATTTCATTCCCTGGATTCAAATTCATATGCGCATTCTGGTAGCGTTCAAATTCAATTTGCTGCAAATACATTTGGTACTGAAACGGATTTTGCTGAGAATTGCCTCCAGATCCGGAAGGGTACGACATGATTGTTTTGTTAATTATGCTTGTTGAATTTTCAGTGAAAAATTTATGAATGAAAAGAATTGTACGCATGCACTTTATTTTATGTCAACCACCATAGGACACACAAGCCAAGGAAATGCACATCAGTAATCCTTTATGGAAACAGAACATCCTGCTTTTGTTCATTTAGAACACATAACAAGTATTTAGCATGGTTTTGGGAAGGTACAGTTTTATTGTGCCACCTATTTGTTTTGCAATTCTACATGCCTCTTCGAATCAAAAATTATAATAAGTATCTAAGAGCTTTCTGGTCATCTTTAGAGAGGTCAACATTATATCAACTTCTTTAATGGCTGTAAGTATGTCCATGTGTGCTCCCTGCAGTTGAACAGTTGCAAACTGATATATCCAAGACAATGCTTAACAATGACAAGAGTAAGAAGGAAAGAAAAATTCTGCATAAGTATGTGATCAATATAAGCATCAGAGGCAGAAGAGTTCCACTTTCCATCTATGTTGTCCTTCATTACTGCCAGAGCTTCAAATATTGGGATGTACAACTCCAAATACCTGTCCAGCTCATCAATTTGGAGGACCCATCTAGTTTAGCAAATGTCAATGAGTTTGATATGACTATTACGAGGACAAAATTTATTTATCATTTGCTCAGGAAGCTGTTGCCTTTTAGGAGCGTGAAAGAAATCCCCTATCTTGGTAACATTACTCAGCATGTTCTGTACACTCTGCATTTGGCATGCAGAAGTAACACAGATGTTAAATCTGTGAGAGGCACAATGTGTCTAGATAGCCAGGGGATTAATTCTGTGGATACGAGCAGCTAAGGCAGAGTACTGCCCTGACAAGTTGGCAGCACCATCATAGCGCTGTCCTCCACAATCAGCCAAGTCTAGCTGTAGCTCATTTGTAAGAGAACTATCTATTTTATTTGAAAGAGCTCAACTTGAAATATCTTTATCACAATGAATAAACTTGATAAATCTTTCTTGAATTTCTTGATTTTTATCAACATAAAGGAGAACTAGAGGCATTTGCTCCTTGGTTGAACAATCTGTTACCTCAACTGCCAAACTTGAAAAGAATTTTAACTGTTTAATATCAGCACTGGTCTGCTCGTTTATAACTTCTGCACAACACTCAGTGAGACTATTCTGTCTGGTTTTGATCTTTATGTAGCATTTTTGGGAGCTGTTTTAAATGTTCCTCTAAAACTTAATCACCACTAACTACTCTGAAACTTAAAAGAGCTTGAAAGTTGTCACAGTCTTCTGAATCGTAGTGCTTGGAATCTCGCCTGTGACCACAGAATGGAAAATTCTGCCTCCCATGGAAAACAGCACATTTAACAACAGACTCCATTTTTTTCCTATTAAGAGAAACTATTTTATCAAAGACATTATCTTGAATCTGGCTAATTGGCTCCACCTAATTCTGCATAACACCACAAAAACTTTGCATGGAGAGTAGTGCATTTTTTTGGACATCTGACTCACTCTCATGATCATGAAACACCCTAGGGGCACAAGACCAATCATTAAAGGGACTTTTTACCAAACATGTTATTTTGGATCCATTTTTACCAATGCTCCTACCAAAAAGAACACAAGGAAGACAAAAGGCACCATCTAGCTTCTTAGAATAGACTAGCCATGGAAACTTAGACAACCAGTTGGGCAAAAATCTTCTTCTGGTACCACAAGAAGAGCGACAAGGATAATCAAACTTGTCCTCAGGCTTCCAAACATCCTTCACTGGATGATAACGTTGGGAATCTGACAATTGGTCCACTTTAAAGTAAAAGCTTCCTACATCAAAATCAAAACCCTGTAGTGGAATTTATTTCAAAATTATTATTTTCCATTTAGGAGTTCATTGAAGTGCTTAAATTGTGGTTTGCTAATTCATCCAAATTACTCTCCTTATTAACCTATCTTTCACTAGATGACCTATTCCGGAAGTGGCTCTAACACTGAATTCCCTGGCCTAAACATAAAATTTTCGTACATAATTTTCAACTTAAATTTTTGCAAGGAAGAAGGTAATGTTATATAGAACACTTGGCATCAGAAGATAGAGAATTCAAAAATCATGGTTTTAGCACACAGTCTCATTAAGCAAACAAATTTAGTTAAAATACAAAAACAGAACAAAATAGTGTCCCTTTTAACGCCAAAACTGCACCTTTGTGTGGTAGTCTCTAAAGCAATTATTTTTTTATGCACAGATATACAGAATTTACAGGCTCGCACCCAATGCACCAAAATGTTGTTTTGGAAAATGAATATGGGCACTCTTTCACATCTCTGCCTGGATTTGCAGTTATCCAGAATGCTTGCTTTTTTCAGCAAACAACACATCTATGTTCCTTCCCTTCTTCCTTTTGTGGCAAATAAAGGCCTACATTTACGAGTCTCCTTTCTTCAACTTCTGTTGTGCTCCTTCTCTTCCTTCCTTTTCCACAATTTGCAACCCTTGTGTTTCCGACTAGCACCGAGGCTAGTTCCTCCTTGAAAGCAAGGAGGTCACGTTTTCTTTTTCCTGGCACCATATGGGGTTTGATTTGCCCCTCAATGATGTAGGCATTGTTTATTGCTTTAATTAGCAGTAAATATTCTCAGAAAAAATCGTTTTTGCTTTTTGTATTTTTTAACAATTGATTACTGGTCACAAAGGTCAACCCCAAGCATTTTTGCATTGTAGTCTTGGATCAGCAGGGGGCACTGAGTTCTGATTTGCTCATATTCCCCGTCTTTCTTTGTGTTTCTGGTCACAGGCTCACCAGCTAAGGAATAATGAATGGCACTGAGGAAATGAACAGGCTTTGTGTCTTTCCAAACCAGAGCAATTAGCCCCTTAGGGCTTGCAAATTCCCTTTCCATTTTTTTATTATCGTTACCCAGTAGTTGCTGAGGGTAATATCATCTGTTTCAACCTATTGTTCCACAGGCCAAAATTCCTTTCCTTTGCAAGTAAAGTAGCAGTGGTACACTGGTATAAAAATTATTCATGTACAGATGATGGCCACGATGCGTTAGTTCTTTCAAGAGGTTGACAGCAACTATGTCGGTTTTTCCCAAGTCGCCAACATCACTGTCAGTGTTTCCTTCCTTGCCCGTGTATACGACAAAGTTCCAACAGTATCTCTTGCTCGCTGGCCAAATAAAAACTTTGATGCCAACCTTCACTGGCTTTTGTGGCATTCTTTGTGTCCAAGAAAGACGTCCTTTGAAGGGAATCATACTCTCGTCCACTGAGATGTCTCTTGGGAAAACATACATCGTTTTGAAATTTCTTGCAAGTGCTCCAACACTGGCCTAATTGTGTGAAGGCAATCGCTGCTCTCTCCCATTATATTTAGATTGCAAAAATGTATGAAGCGCTGAATCTCAACAAATCTATCTCTGGTAAAGATTTTTCCAATATTCGTGTGGAAAATTCACTTGCTCTCTTCTGCAAGGAATTATCGTTCTGTCCTTGGCACTACAAGCAGGCTATTGGTGATCACAACCATGCCGATGTAGGTTTTGATTTCCTCTATGGTCACCTTCCACTGTTCACCATTGGTTTCGTGTAACTTTGTTGCAGCGTTTTTTTCTGTCTCGAATTTTTTTTAAAACGTCATCCCCAAAAAATAGCTAGAAATGAAAAAAGCATTCGCATCATCTGCTTTGTTTGTTGTAGGCCCTGGTCGGGTAAATCGTGAACAGCATCTGGATCAGCTGACAAGCTAGGCTCGGAATTGAGTGTCCATTCCACATCATCCAGTGCTGGCATTTCAAAGCGAAATCCTTCAAATTCTTCTTCGTCATCTGAATCACAGAAAACATTTAAAAATCGGTAACAAATTCGTCACTAAAATCTCCAATTTGTGGCACATCGTCTTCACTTGATTCAGACAGTGAGTAGCACTCATCAATTTAGTAGGCCGCCATAATTTCAAAACATGCAAGCTCGCTGTAAATTTTAAATGGCCGTTTGCACAAAAATTTCATATGAAACCACATGCAAAATTCCTAAGATTTTGTTGTTTTAAAAGTTTGACTACATAATGGTATATAACAAAGGTAGCCATCACAATCTAGTCTACACAAAAACCATTGCCAAAGCCGCTAAAGAGGCTTATCATGTTCACAGGGTCGCAAGGTAAAGCCTCTAAAAGAGGCTCTTCTTGATGAAAGGGTTAAGATTCAAGTCTTTCTTTGGTCTGGCACTTTGGAAAGAAAAGTTTTGTTTGCTTAGATTTAAGAGGTACTTTGAATTCTTCAGAAGGATCATTGACAACCAAACCGGGACAATGTGATTTGGCTTAATTGATCTCTTACTTCCAGAAGGAATGCAGCTAACTGACCAAAATAAATATATTGGAGAATTTCTGGACATTTGATCTCTTGAAAGGAGTTGTGCATTACTTAAGATTACAGCAGATTTATCTTCTGTGTCGGGATAGAGAGACATAAGTGGACCTGTATTACACTTGGTAATGCCAAAATACATGTGAATGACACCATCTTCCATTTTCACAATTGTTTAATGTTGTAATCAAACAACATTTTCACAATTGCTTATCATTATTAAGGTTGTAATCAAAGTGATCACTTGCATCAAAGGACAGAGATTTAAAAAAAAGGTGGCATAATTCTTTTCATTTGATAAGTTTTTTCAAAATGCGGATGTGAGGTATAGGAATCTTGATGAAGATAAATCTCAACTGAGCTGTGAGCTCTTTGAACTTAACTCATAAACTTTGAACTAGGCTGTTAAAACTTGACTCAAAACTCTCATTACCAATAGCTGCATATGAGCATGCCTTTTAAATGCAGTTTCCATCTGCTTTTACCCTGTGCAAAATAGAAAAAAACTGTATACTAACTTTACCTAATAATTACTGCAAATCCTAGCCCCTTCTACTATTTTTATAGTTTTAATTGCAGGTGTCAAAGATCTTATCAACTCTCTCTAAAATTCAGCTGTACTTTTAGAAAGACCACCAAGGCTTGCATACAGAGTAATACCAGCAGCGACAGAATGACTAAATATTTGAGCAGCAAGCTTGGCTCTCATTTTCATAAAGCCATTATTAGGATTAATGTGCCTTTCTGTTAGCTAAGGGGCAAAAAATTGTTTTTGCTATTTATTAAAGAAAGATTTGATGTCATCCCAGTTTGCCTCTTTGTTCTCAAATTCGAAATTGTACTTTAAAAGATTGTTGCTGACTGACTTAAGAAGATGTGGAGGGTAAAAAATCACAAAGTAGTTTTTGCCTCTCATTTGAATGTATGGCTGTTCTGCAGTTACATTTTCAGAAGGGGTGAAAGATAAGAAATTTGAACCTTGGTCACCGATGATGGAAACAACATTCCATAGATTCTAAATGAAAAGGGCTTCACTTATTATATCTTTTATCCTATAGGCATCACAAGAATCGTTAACAAGAAAAAATGCAATAGGCTGTTTCCAGTTATGAACAATTCCCCTAACCATCAACACCAAAGCGGAGTTAGCAACTAGACCAGATAACTTACCATCACCAAAGTCCTCCAAGCCAACCAAATGATCCTTAGATATATCATAGAACAGGTGGCTTTTCAGTGAAATTTCATTCATCAAAAGAGAGCAAATCTTACCTGCTGCTGGTAGTGACTCTGCTCTCTGCTTTATAACATAAAAAGACTTCTCAGTAAATCCAACATCTGAAGCAAATTTTGCCACAGTGTTGGTTAGAGTCTTCTTGCTAGGTAAGTTAAAAAGCTTTGCTAGAAATCTGTATGACTTTCCACTGATGTGACATAAAGTCAAAGCCCAGGCCTTAAAATTATCATCAAATCGTCTACCTTTTGAATGATAGCATGAAAATTTCAATTGTGTTTTTAAAAAGTTCAGGAGGTCAGGGCAAACTACACCCTCTAGTAGCTTCAATGCTTTCTTAATTCTCTGAGCTTTTTTTCAATCCTTTAGATAGGAAGAGTGAGGTTTTGGTTATCAGCTTTGAAGTAAACTCCTTTCGACCTCCTCCGCTGATTTTCTAGCGATTTCTCGTTGGAAAATGATATAATTCAGTTTGCCAGCCACGTTCAAAAAAAAATTAGAGACATGTCAAGTCTCATTCTGAGTTAACGCATGTGCCAAAATTTTCAGGCTTCACCTCATTTGCAGGAGTTACCCTTCTGCCTATTTCTATTATGTGGTTCAATGAAGGAGAATGTGGTTTTCACCAGAGAAGATCTAAAAAAATTTTGCAAAGGCAGAATGAAGTAAAATATCAAATACGGCCATGTTGTAGAAGTAAATACCTTAAATACATAATAAAAAAGATATGCTTATCTTGAATCTTAAACCTGAGCTCATTCATTACTTTTAGCATTTTAATTAGAATAATCAAACTGGGAAAATCTGACATTCTCAATTGAGAATGTTGAGAATGTCTTGATCTGCCCCTGTTGGTCATGGCTTTGACATAACAGACATCTTGCCAGCTGGAGTCACCCTGAATATTCCTCCATTCAAGGTTCAAAAAGCCAGATTACTTCAGAGAAAACTAAAGAGACTGCTCACATTGCATTCATCTGGATACATGTAGAAAGAGCAATTTGAAGAATAAAAACTACCATATCCTTGGAGGAGTTTTACCATATCATTGAATCCTATTTCTAACCAAATTTTTACTGTACACGCTTTTTTTTTATAAGGAACCGTTTATAAGGAACCTACATGTAGAAGGTCAAAAAACTTAAGGAACTTTTACTACTAAAGGCCAAATCCCTAAGGAACTTTTAAATTTTGAATATATTTATATTTCCGCACAATTTACAATTAGGAAGCCGGTTCCATTGATTTTCAGTAAAACCGGCCATGCTCATGGGGCCAAGAATCAACATGAGAAATTTCCGTTTTAACTCACCTCACATGCAGCTGTGCTTTGTTGTGAATTCACACTTTAGGTGTTTTAGTTTTAGTCAAATAGGTTAGTCACAACAAAATAGAATTCTTATTCTGTGTGTGTGGCTGAGTATTACAGTAGTTGCAATATGGGAGATAAGAAAAAGCAGTCAACGTTGTTCAAGTTCGGTTTTTCTAAAAAGATACCTCATCGAAATGAGTTACAAGAAGTCCCTGGTCGTTCGTTTGTTGAGGATGATGATGTAAGTTTGTATCGTTGTGACACATGCAACAAGCATTTCAAAAGTAAGTCTGGCCTTACGATGCACGTGTCTTGGTGCACTTCGGAAAAAGACAGTGAGAGAGAAAAAGAACAACCAACTAAAAAAATCGATGAAATTCCATTGATCTTGGAAAGTAGCGCCGAGGCTGTTGAGCCACAAAAAGAACCAACTGCTATTGATGTGGATGAGAACATCGAAGAAACTGTAGAGGAATGTCAAGAGATAGAGAAAAGTGCTAGAGCGTCAGAAGCAGGAGAAAGCAGTCAGCACCATCGAGAGAAGAAGAACAGACTATCTTATGACACCGAATTTAAGCTAAAAGTTATCGAGGAAGCAAAGAAAAACCAAAAGAATGACGTTGCATTCAAATACAACATCTCTAAATCGATGGTATCGACCTGGGTTAAAAATGAGAAGAAAATTACTGATGCAGCCGCCCATAGCCACAGGAAAATGATGAAAAAGATCAGACCCAGCACAAGGCATAAGCAAGTCTTCGTGATGCTTCACGAAAAATTCCTACAAGCAAGATCAAAGGGGATGCGAATATCTTTTGCATGGCTGTACGCAAATGCTAGGAAGATTAACCCCGAATTCGACCAAAGTGCCCAATCAGATATTAAAGCTATCCCGAAATCTGCAGTCTTCAACTTTATCAGGAAGTACAAAATCAAGTTGAGGAGAATTCAGCGTAAGAAAAGGGCTGAGAAAACGAGCTTCTTGCCAGGCATGATTGGTTGGCACACAACTTTGCGCGAAGGCTTGATCAAGACAGGAAACGCAAAGCCTTCCTATGACAGCAAATGGGGGAGATTCCGACCATCTAAACGCTTCAACGTTGACCAAGTTCCTATGCCATTTGCGGTCGATTGTAAAACAACATACGAAAAACACTTTCCGCGCGGAGAACAAAGAAACCATCGAACCTGGGTCAGGTAAACCGCTTTCTGCTTTTTGTTTAAACTCTTTCCAGACTGGGCCTTTTAAAAAATTAATTTGGAAATATTATAAAAATTGGGGGGCTGCTCATTTGTCCACTCCTTCTAAAATTGCTATCTTTAATTCTTTTTCAGCACACCGGGACCGGGACTTGATAAGCGGCAGTGCACGTTACAAATCTGCTTTGCAGCCGAAGGACCGCCAGTCAAAATTGCAATTATTTTCCGTGGAACAGGGAAAAGAATCAGCCAGGATGAAATACAGGCATACCACAAAGACGTGGATGTTTACTGGCAGACAAACGCCTGGGCAGACATCAATTTCAGCATTGACTGGGTGAAGAGAACTCTGAAACCAGCTGTCCAAAATTCTTCCGAAACAGGTGAAAATGAAGAATTCGTTCTTTTCTGCGACAACTTAAGTGCGCAAACTAATGATCTGTTTCTGAGTGAGGTCAGAAAATTAAATGGTGTTGTTTGGTTCGGTTTGGCCGGTGCGACAGACATCTGGCAACCTGTAGATTGTGGCTTTGGAAACATGCTGAAGTCTTTGGTTCGAACCCTCCAAGATGAGTGGCTGCAAAGTGACGAAAATATAGATCTTTGGCTTGGGAACAGTGTTGAAAAACTGGATGTCAAGAAGCGAAGAATTCTAATTACACACTGGGTTGGTGAGGCATACAATAGGCTTTCCAGTGAGAGCTATGCCTCATCACGGTACAGATGCTTTGAAAAGACAGGCTGCTTAATAACGGCTGATGGGTCGGAGGACAAGAAAATTCAGCCTGAAGGTCTGATTGGGTACTCAATACCACCACCATTGCCTGTGACTGGCCCCGAAAATCCACTGTCTGTACAAATACCAGAGGCCTCAGCAGCCTGTGAGGAAGATGTAAGTGATGAAGAAGATGAAGGGGATGAAGAACTTGAGCCTGACGAGCTTGAGCATGAAAGAGTAGACCATGTAAAATATCGTGTCTACGAACATGAGTTGATTAATAAAAAAATACGCGCATTCTACGACGAATGGCACACTGGACAAGTGAAGTGGTTCAACACCAAGCTGGGAGAGTTTAGAGTTCTTTTCGAAGACGGTACTGAAGACTACATTGTGTCAGACGACATCAATGGAGTGGATATGCAACTTCTTTAATGACTATTATTATTAATTTTATATTATATGAAGCTTCTTTGTGTTTTAACTTGTTATCTTTTCTTAAGTTTATAGCAAAACGCTGAATTTGATTGTTTTTCTTGCGTCTGTACTAATTATTGTCCACTAAATGCCAACTTAAAATTAAGGAACTATTAAGGAACTTTTAGAACTACAAAGTGGTCAAAACAGGTCTCAAAATAAGGAATTTAAAGAACTAGGCCCGAGCTAGGTTCCTTAAAAAAAAAAACGTGTATGTTGTCTACTTACAAATTTTTAACACTTTTTGTGGATATGCTTGATGAGAATTAATTGTAGTAAAATTGTAATAAATTAATTGTAATAAACACATTCTATTTAGGATAATTTTCCCATCTTCCATGTACATATAACTTGTTTCCCTGTTTGACACATTGAGTAAAAAATTCTGGCAGTACAGCTCCAGGGTCTGGGTAGTAAAAAGTTTATCATGAAGGTTTTATCAGAAAAATGGTTTCTCTGAGCAATGGCTCGTTGTCAAAAAACCTCACAAAAAATCCACTTTTTCAATCCTACCCTTCAACTTGAGAAAATTGTTGGTGCTTGCGTTTCAATTTGATGGTTCCATCTGAATTTTTCTTGAGCAAATTTTTTTGTCAAGAATGGCTACATGCAAAGGTGAGTTGAACTTTCAATATGGACCTTTATTTCAAAGCCATAAGTTTCTTCATTTGCAAACACTTGGCCATCCATTAGCACCAAGAAATTGAAATGATGTTGATCATTTCTGGCCAACTTCAGAAGCATCAATATTGATGTCACTTTCTCTCATCAACACCAAGTAAAGATTGCAAATATTACCATATTTCTTTCCATGTTCAGTGTCACAAGAACTGAATGCTTTCATAAAACATTGCTTTCAGCTTTGAAGTAGGCTCGACTGTGTTGACTGCAGCAGTGTAAAAGTTGGACAGGGCTGGGCAGTAAAGTCTATGTTCGTTCCACATTTCATTAGAACCCTGACTATAAGTTGAACTTTCCATCCTCAAAATTTCGGCAAAGATTAACTTTTTTATGTTAGTCACAATAATAGTCCATCATTTTTTTAAAGAAGCTTTGTTATGTCATAAAGGTAGTTTCACAGAGTAGGCAGGAATTGGGGAACAGGTTCGTCTTAAAGATAGGATCTTTATAAGTGTTATATGTTTGTCATATTATTATTCCATAGTGTAAAAAAGATAGAAATAATGCATTTCATAAGCATATCAAGAAAATCTATAACTTTAATCGTAACAATTGCTAGAGTGTTTCTTCATCAACAACCTTTGGTGACCGTAGGCAAGGTCATCTTATATTAGTAACTGCTATGATATTAACTCCAGTTTCTTCCATATTTCTTAACTCTAAAGCTGAAGCCCCCATCTGGTCAACATAAACGACCTTTCGTTTTGCTAGATAAATGATCTACAAGATAAGAAAAGTTTGTTTGTCCTTATTCTGGAGAATATGTCAGGCAATAGAACAGAACTTTCAGTATGGCAAACATACTGTTATCATTAGGGTCCTGTGACATTAAGTGATCTTATCAGCAAACCCAGTGATTGCCATCTTTGTTGAAACAACCCACAAAAATATTTGCATTGCACAGTTGCTCCTATTCAGAGAATGTGATGATTATAAAGTACTGTTCGAATTAAAATTTTATTCTTGTAATTGAAGGGAAAATTGTGAAGAAAGATCACACGATCTAACATAATTATTGCCTGAATATGTCAATAACGTTTTAATACCATCGTGACTGCATTGTCTCCTGACTGCCTTTGGGACCAGTTAACATCCTTGTAACTGTCTCTGAGTTCATCATTTTTATGTAACTAGAAAAAATATGATATAAAGTTTACGTTAATTTTTTAAAAACATCTACATGGTAACACATGGTTATAGTCTCCACAGATAAACCGCTTTACTACAGAATATCTAGGAAAGATAGAGGAGATTGCTAACCTCAGTTCTGTATTTTTGAGTGATAATTTCTAGCCCAATCTCGAAAAATCTGTAAGAAAAAAAGACTTGATATAACTGCTTAATTCATAGTTCAGTTGAATTTGGAAAAGCTACAAATGAGCTACTAATACTTTATCATTGCATAACTGTTGCCCTGAAGCGTGGCCAGGTCCTTGTCATAGGCTGCAGTAACTTTAAAGTACGAATACAACAGCCCTGCTTGCTTATTAGACAGAATATGCTGGAGCACTGACGAAAGAAATAAAATATGATAGAAAATGAGACGGATAGGTACAAAAGTTTCTGGTATCATAAAAGAAAGTGGCTATAAAAAATCTTTCCCCCTCTGCAAACCACATTTATGGAGGCATTTTAAACTTGTACACTTTGGTCCTGATTCAGTGAGCACAAAGTATAGCTGATAAAGGTAAAAATAGGTAAAGAGATATGTTTTATCGGCATTTCCCTAGTTCTTCGTAAAACCTCTCGTGAAAAATTTAAAGTCAAGGCTTATCATTTGAAAAGTATGAGTTAAAGGCATATCAATTCTAAAGAAAATAAACGATTTTATACATTGAAAAAAGTGCTGAGTTCAGATGAACATGTTTTAGATTAGATATTGTGAAATAAATGAATGATGATATTGTATGTAGCAAGTACCTTCAAAAAAACCCTTGCATTGGAGTAAGTCCAAAGCATAACATGAATCTACATAATACACCAGTTTCACAAAAACACTTTTAACCGTTAACTGCTGCTTCTATATTTTCACGAACTCTTCTATAGATTTCTTCACTTGTGACAGATAATGAGTAAAGAAATTGTTAATAACTTATGTTAACTTTCAAGATGAATATTTGATTTCATTCAAGTATTTGATATGAAAGTTTACAGTAATAAAGCCTGCTTCAATAATAGCACTTCTTCTTTTCAACGCACCTTTCAGATGTTAATTTAATAATTTTGTAAATCAGATATAAATTTATTTTAGAATTTCATAATTTTTAAAGAATTTTTAAGCAATATCAAGCTTTGGCTTTTTGCGCATATGCACAGAGATTTGCATCTCATCTGTTATCTCAGCAATTTTTTATGTACCATTATTTTCTGGAATTGAAGGATTATTTCAGCATCAGTGTTTCAGCATCTTCAGATTCCTAGCATTTTCAAACGTGAATTAGTGGATGTTACTAGCTGATTTCCCTAATAACATACAGAATTTACTTACGTTTTGTGCTTTCTCCTCTGGGGTCCCATATTGTGCAGGTTGCACTTCCACGAGTCCACAACCTCTGCACTGTCAGAGAAATGCCTAAACCAGTAATATCCAAACCAGAGAAAATGAACTCGAAAAATGATTTAAAAGGTGAAGCCTCAATTTATTTCACTGTATAAAATCCAGCTTATTCTATTCTTAGCAGGTGTCTTTGTCAATCAATCAATCAATCAATCAATCAATCAATCAATCAATCAATCAATGAAAAACTTAATTAATGTGTCAAAAAATATTTAGCTTACTAGCTAATTGGGGACACAACGAAAAAAGTATATAAAGTTAAATTAGAGCATAAAATATGAAATTACAGTATAATTATTAAAACATAAAAATTTCTAAAAAATCCTATGTACAACTAAACTAAAGTCTACAGTCAAAAAGAGTTTCTAAGTCCATTCTTCTTATACATTTCTTGAATTGGGTTATTGTTGTCACCTCCTTGATAGCTCTCTCTAATTTGGTCCACAGATATGGGCCAAAGTATCTTACTGAATGTTTTCCTTCTTTTACCGTAAGAAATTTTGTGTCCTTTTGCTATTGAGTCCTTTTCTGGAGGTGTAATTTTCCTCGCATCTTTCTTTGAAGCCATGGGCCACAAACCTTAAAAACACATATTAAGTAACATGTGGGATTTTAAAAGAACGGTGCAATGAAAGATGCAAGAAAATGTTTCCTTCAATGTGCCATCATGATGTTTAGGTAACTAAGGCTACAAAGGTGTTATGAAAAGTAATACCTGCTGCTTTCTTCAGTATAAATGTGTAAGTCTCATTTCTGCTGTGCTTCCTTCTCTGAACCTCCAAAGTCCTGTTGTCTACGAAATCAATAAAGAGCAGTTCTCTATTGTCGTGAAGTGAAATGCAAAGAGTTTTAATGAGTAGCGCATCATCTGTTTCATTTACAATATTGACAAAATTCAAGTTTTGAACATGGTTCTTATTATAAAAGCAGCAATTGTTAAGAATTCATCTTTGGCACGAAGATACCTCTAATTACATTGGCAACTTTGACTTCATCTTGTTGCAATAGGTGTACCACCAAAAATTCAAATATCTCAAATTGTGCTTTTATTTATGAATCTAAAGGTAACCAAAAGTTATTCTTACAACCAACTTTTTCGTTCACTACCCTTGCGCCTAGGGTAGAAAGGACAGCCCCATCGCTTGCAAGAAATAATAAAAATACACTTATTTTTTACAATATTCAGTCTCTTGTATTTACATCTTAGTGTAATCTAAACTCTTATTTATGTAGAATAAGGAAGCAAAACTTATTCTTACAAGGAACATCCTCATCTTTCACTATCCTTGCTCCGATGGAAGAAGGGAAGGCTCCATTGCCTGGAATTAATGAAAATACATCTATTTTTTACAAAATTCAGTCTTTGAAAATGGCTTTGAAAAAAGCAAACATTTTACAACATACTTAAAGCTTTTTCGTCTGACACTCCTCAGAGCATAAAACGTCAGAATAGGTTCCGAAAAACATGTTTGAAAAATATATACCCAGTTGTGGATCGAAATAGGCCAATCAGAAAAACGCAAGCACAAGACCGGTATAGTTGACCAATCAGTGCCGCGAGCCTAAAGAAAAATTACCAATGGAGTCCAAGAGAGAAAACGAACTCCTTTTGTCTACACAATGGCGGCTTTTTCAATGAAATGAAATTCAGTTTTAACAATGAAATGTACCAACAAAAGGATGGTGTCGCTATGGGTAGCCCTCTGGGACCTGCCTTGGCCAATATCTTTGTTGGCTTTCATGAAGAGCGTTTGTTCGACTACGACCAAAAGCCAGGTGTCTATTTTCGGTATGTGGATGACACATATACCATTTTCAAAACAGAGGCTGAGTGTGATATTTTTCTAAAACACCTAAATAGCCTACACCCAGCCCTCCAGTTTACGTTTGAAAAGGAAGAAAATGATTCCTTACCATTTTTAGATGTTTTGGTCGAAAAGTCTAACACTGAATTTCTTACCAGTGTATATCGCAAGCCTACTTTTACCGGTCAGTACATACGCTGGAATTCATTTTGCCCAAACAACGCAAAGTCAACCTTGTCAAAACATTAGTACATAGGGCACTTATGATCTGCTCGAAATCTAAACTGCACGCTGAACTGGAAAAACTCAAAACGATCTTCTTGGACAACGGCTATCCTGAAGACGTCATTTTAACTTATACTAAGGAGAAGATCGCAAGTTTTTCGGCTGTTCAAAAGTTTGGTCCGCAAAAGTGCCCAGTTTATTTGAAACTACCATGGATTGGTAACACTTCCTTGCGATTCGAGAGTCAGATTAGGCAAGCCATAACCAATTGTTTCTTTGCTGTCAATCCTCGGATTGTTTACAGCACTAGGAGAGCCCTTCCATCCATTCAAAAGGATTGCGTCCCTACCAACCAAAAAAGTTCCGTCATTTATGAATTTACGTGCCAGTGTGATTCTGGCTACGTAGGGCGCACAACCCAAAGATTGGGGGATAGGATAAAACAGCATGTTCCTTCCAACATACGAAACAAAACTGCCCCTCAAAGAGAACAGCCTCCTCGATCTTGTAGGTCTAGAAACACTGTTAAAACAAGTGATTCTGCCATTGGACAACATCTTTTAGACAACCCAGATTGTGCAAAACTCTATAATGACGACATGTTTCGGATAATTGGCAGAGCCCGGTCGTCCTTCCATCTAGCAGTTTTGCAGTCAATCTACATAAAAACGAAAAAGCCGCCATTGTGTAGAAAAAAGGAGTTCGTTTTCTCTCTTGGACTCCATTGGTAATTTTTCTTTAGGCTCGCGGCACTGATTGGTCAACTATACCGGTCTTGTGCTTGCGTTTTTCTGATTGGCCTATTTCGATCCACAACTGGGTATATATTTTTCAAACATGTTTTTCGGCACCTATTCTGACGTTTTATGCTCTGAGGAGTGTCAGACGAAAAAGCTT